TTATTGTATCAGATACCAAAAATTATGTGAACCTCATTTCATCTATGATATGTAAGAACCAAGCCACGGTCAACAGGAGATTTCGCTGTAAGTGTTAATTAAATGAATGTTCTAAAGTAAAAATAGAAGAGATCAAACACAAAATTATACTTAATATGTCAGAAAATAGATATCATGAGGGAAGGGATAATATGCTACATATGGGAACTGTTTGAATTTCGTGGTAATATATTCTATCTCCAGGGCTTATGTTTATTAATTAGATCATTAATACATATTGTTCAATGATTTCTCTGAGTGAGTAGGAGAACACCCTTAAGTCATACTAAAAACATCATGCGTTCTCCTCGCTTTATATATCGTCTGAGTTATCATAATTTCAGTTCACAATTACCTTCACTCTTAAGGGTCTTTAAAAGTGAATTAAATACATAGAAATTCAGTATTTTGTGTATAAGTTTTATGTTGTGTATATTGAGAGTATCACACACCGGAACTTAATAAATTTATTACTTATGAGAAAACCTCCCTTTGAGTTCTCAAATACCATATAGCTTCCGCATCAAGTTTATTATTCTACGAGGGTATATATAGATAAAATTATTATCTTTAATTCATAATCATAACGTCTGATTTCCTTTCCCATATTGTGAGATTAATGAAATATCACAATTCCTAGTGGGTGGTGTTATTAACCTTTCTGCCTACGCGATTAGTGGATTAAGAGCTAATCGAGATTATAATACATATATGCTTATAACGAGAACAAAGGAAAAACAAATCTAATATCATAAACTGGAATCGAAATTAAGTTACATCAAATCCTTAGCTATAAATTAGGTATAGTTTGACTTGAACTATGTAATAGAATTGTATTCAATAAGGCTTGGGCACATTCATCATATTTTAAGTGACAATATAAAAGAAAGCAAACAAAGAATGAAATATATGATATTTAGAATATAAACTTAGTATCAAAATAGGGTTTGATGAGTGTCTTCCTTTGAATCTTGTGCAGAATTGTTTGATTGCTTTGAATTCTTTAAGAGAGAGAACGAATATTAATTTTAAGTGAATATGTGTGAACCTGTGAATATTATATCGTGTAAAATTGTCTTTGTTGGGAAAGAAAGTTTACTTCTGTCCTTTATATAGAGTTCTTAAGCAAAAAGTTTGATACTTCTTATTTAGGAATAGAATAGAAAATCCCTTTTTGTTGAAGATGTTGCAAAATCCTTATAGAGATCATAACTGTTTAGGTTCTGATTTAGCGTTATTTTTGACTCTAGGAGTGCTCCTTTTTCCCCAAAAATAGGGTACCAGTACTTGTTATTATGAGTTAATTAGATGAATAGACATACCCGAGTGGCTCGGCCGCATTGGTGAGAGAAAATATCTTTGAATAATTAGAGCAGCACTTAAATTCTAGCTGGTGTTTCCGCTCTGGCGCAGCACGAGGCGTTGCTTTTACCCACTTTGGCAAGGCTGGGTGCTGGTGTGGTGGCTATAGTAGTCTTATGCAAAGTGCTGTGGCCAGATTAAAGCACGGGCTCGCATTATATTGAGTAGCTTACTGTGGAAAGGCTTATGTTCCAGTCTCTATGAGAGTGCTACGGCCGCTCATAGTGTGTATGGTAGACATTACTCGGTCCTGGGTCGTTTAGCCATTTTCTCTGGAAGTTCTGCCATAATAAGATTTTTGCTCCTGTAGTATTGATATGACTATGCTTGATCACGGCCTAGGGACCTTGTGCACGGCCGTGCCTGTTAGCACGGCAGGGCGTGCTTACAGGTTTAATGTAGCCTTTTGTATTACTATATTTTATAGCTCAAGTTCTTCGTGCC